GAAACTTCACAGAATTAGAGTCTCAGACACTCTGCCACCCTTAAGACCCACATTTGTCACAAAGCCCTTCCTGCCGCATGTCAGAACGACAATCCCACGAACGTGTGGTGCTGTAAGCATTGCTTGTTCAAACACGATGTACAATAAAAGTAAGTGGTAAGTTCCTAATTAACTTCTTCCAGAAGTCATAACTTCACTAGAAAGATCTGAAAAAACCTTTCTCGTAAGCAAACCTTAAAAAAGGCAGTTATATTACATCAGGTTTCCATAGATGCTAACACCTGGCACTGGCCACCAGAACAAGCAGAAAGAAACACCGGCAGCTCAGATTTTGGATTCTTCCATTTCCATTTGGGGCCACCACTGACCTTGGATGGAAGCAAAAGGAACTGGAGACTAGAGCAGAGAGGCAGGCCCTCTGTGTACTGAGAGTGACAGCGGTGAGAACAGGAACCAAGCCAGAAGCATGTCTCCACCCCCGGTCCTACTCCCCTCGCTCTACGGGGACTTCTGTTCAGAACCAAGGGTTCATCCTGAGCTCTACCATTTGCCTGCGTAACAACAACAACAACAACAAGAATCACACAAGCTGACATCATGCCATGTTCTGAGTCTAAGACCTTCATTTCACGTTTTCTTTCTTTTAAATAGATCTTTATTGTTGAAACTATTACATATGTACCTCCCCCCGCACCCTCACTGACCCCTTCTATCCTGCTCCTGCCCCCACCCCAGGCCTTCACCACACTATTGTCTGTGTCCATGGGTTAGCATGTATGCACACAAGTTCTTTGGTTAATCTCTTCCTACCACCCACCCGGACCCGCCTTCTCTCTAACATAATGAGGAATATGATACTTGCTCTCAAACACGAATGTCACCCGGCAGACATAAATGCACACAGTAAAATGCCATAACAGAGGCTGGAAGACCTTGGAGCCTGCTGAGACCAAGAAGACCTCCAACTTGGATAGTCTTGGAATCTCTACCTTCTATGGAAGCAGAACCATTTTTTTTTTAAAAAATGCTATCTAAGTTTGGGACATTACAGTAATTTAGTGTTATTCTGAAGAATGTCCTATATTCACTTACCCTACATGACTATTGTTAAGAGACCCATTACAAATGATAGCTTAAGTAACAGCCTAGTCTTTGGCTAAGGAGAGATCATGTGTTGCTTAAATAAAAACTACAGAAAAAAATCTACCAGTTAATTCAAAATACATGCCTGAAAATAGGGAAGAGAAATTCTATGGAAATAGTAAAGCTCTTTCCTAATGTGTTCAGGTGCTTTTAAGCACCAACTGTCTTGCATATTTTGCAACTGTTTCCTTCCAAAAGCTAAAAATGTCTTGTATTTTACAGACAGTATTTTAGCACTGTTGCCTGTCACACACATAGGAAAACTGCTCAAAAGCTTCAATGTTGAAATTAAAATAAAACGTATGCCTAGAGTGGTAAATATTCCTGGATTGATAGAGTTGCAGCAGATAGACTCCAAAAATTGACTGAAGTCTGAGATATTAGAAAGACGAAAAATTTATCTAGTTTTAGCAAATGTCAAATCAGCAGCTATTGCTTTTAAGATTAATAAGAGATATAATGGTTTCCAGATAGCCTCTAAATAGAGATTACTATGAATGGGGAAGTGATTTACCAACAGTCACCACAATGAGATTTCTTTAAAGGTTACAATCATCAGTTATTTAGCTGAAACACTGCTGAGAATGCCTGGTCATTTCTTGAATAATGCATTATATTCATTGTAGATTTGATCTGTATTATAGCAATACAGATATTTCTAAAATAATGGAAAAAACTATCTGTTACCTTCCAATTGCTTAACATATCATTTCCACGAAGTAATTGACTCAGGACATATTAGACACTGTCACCTGGGTGTTCTTTCTGCAAGCATAACTTGTAAATAATCTGTACACAATGGGCATCACAAAACAAACTCATCAACCTTTATAGACTTTTAAGAAAAGATGAGATGAATACAGGGCAGAGTGAAGGACCTTTCTGAAGCAGTAAATTAAAATGATTAAATGTCTATATCATTGGGGTGACAAATTTAAGCTCTGAAATTTAATTATTAACATGGATAACTCACCACATTTTTTAAAATGTTGCCTACGATGTGTAAGTCCTTCTCATATAAATTTCCAAATGCCTTTAGGTTTACTCAAGAGACTGCTTGGAGAAGCACCAAGTATAATGCATATTGTTTTATTGTTGGATTATGAACTGCACTTCCCAGGATGCTACAGGCTTTTTATATAAGCTGGTTTATCCATATGAACTTCTTCAAGGGCACAACATAGAAGACCTTAATAAATTAAAACGAGTTTCTTTGATGTGGTTCCATGAATCTTTGATCAGTATGAGTAGCAGGTTTGCATTAAAGAACTAGAGTAAAGCAATAAAATATACATATACTGTGTACCAGTTTATAGAAAGTGTCCATTGCATTTTGCATTCCTCCCAACTTCTGAGAATCGGGGTAAGTAGTACAGAGCCACTATGCTCACAACTACAGCTTTAACCTCTCACTGGTTTACTAATAGTGGGAACAACATGTTACAACATGGATTCTCTGCCAAAAGCCGATGGGAAGTTCACAATAATAAAACCTGTGATCTCCTTCCAGGCTCCTAAACATCCATCCCAGCCTCCTTGTTTTTCTCACTGACATCGCCATGTCCTTCCACAGACTGAAACCCATGAGGGCAGACACCATGTCTGCTCGCCAACCCCCCCCGCATCTTTATCACAATAAGTAGTGAGAGAGTTGAGTTGATTGAAGGCCACAAAGCCCAAAGGGATTAGTCACACTCTGAAACTGAGAGAATTCTCACCTGGAATTTTTGAAGATGGTGATACAAATTAAGTATCATCTTTGTAAATGAATGTGATGTGATAGAAGAACACTTAGACAGAAAGGCAAAAAAAAAAAGGAATTCTAGTTTTAGATCTGTGAACACTCAACTGTAAACCCTTTCTACATCATTCCCCTCACCTGTAAAATGAAGGCATGGTTCTATGTGCCCTATAATTCTGAATCTCTAAAAGGCCATGATTCCAAGAGTAAGCAGGGCTATCACAAAATAGAAGAATGGACAGACAAGGGAACCATTGGATTTTTCTGCTTTGGTAGCTACTGCCACCACAAAAAACCTATAAACTACTTCAAAGAAAAATGGAAATAAAGGAAAAGATGATTATCCTAAACAACTTAATATAAGTCCAGTCCTTCGAGCAACATATTTAAAATTTAATAATAACATTTTGTACATTGCGTGATTTATAAGCTTTTGCACTTATCCTTCCATCTTGCATGATTTGTAATAAACATGAAGACAGCCTACTGACTAAGCCCTTCTGTATACAGTAAATACTTACCAGGATTACTATATCCCTAGTCTTTAGCCTGGGAAAATTCCCTACAACTTTAGCCTCTGGAACATGGACGGTTCTGTGGCCAAGTTGACACCTACATTCTCAGGTCAGAGGGCTGTGAAAGGACAGCATAGATGTGCCTTGGCTGGTTTGTACTCTGCTGTCTTCACCTCACATCTTGCCCTTGAGAGCTATTGTATTGTATGTTCTGTTCAAGCTTTGAACGTCAGTCTTACAGTCTAGGGCCGGAGTCTGGGAGCTATGGCTTGTGAGCCAATCGGGTGGCAGCTGCCTGCGTTGTCAGCACAGTTTCATAGGCCACAGCCACGCCCTGTTGTCTGTGGCTGAATTCATGCTGCAATGGCAGAGTTGAGTTAATCCCCAATGTCTAAAATATGTACTCTAGGGCCCTTTACAGAGCATGTTTGCCAACCCCTGCTCTAGAGGAAAATAACACGTTGCAATTTAAACTCTAATTGTCCTTCTCTCCTAAGCATAAGAAACACAAACCCTAAGTAGCAATGGCAAAAAGAGGAACAGATTGAGACATGCACACCTCTGAGGATCACACCTCTGAGCACAGGACTGTAAACAACACTGCTTCTGACCTTCATTTTAATGTAAGTCCCCTAAGGGTTACACTCCCCACTGTCCCCTTTCCTACAACAGCCGGGAACGCGGACCCTCTCAAAGGTAGCTGTCAAGGTGTCACCACTAACTAAAGAACCTGATTCCTCCCTGAGTGAAGGTTGCCTGAAATTCTGCCAAACGTCCAGTTTTATCTCACACTCATCAAGGGTCTAGAAACTACGTCAAGCACAAGAAACTAGGAGATCCCTAAAGTCCTATGCTTTGAATGACACGCCCTAAAAGTTAGAAAAAATCAATGACCAACACCGCATATGCATTGAAAAACATATGCATACATACTGAATTACTAGAAATGCCATACATTTTTAGGAGTTACAGGAGCACACAAGAAATACCTCTCTTAATTTCCAGAGTGAAGAAGGCCTAAAATTTTAAAATAATGATTTAAGGGTAACTGCACCAAGATTTGAAGGACAAGTACATGTTTACATTTGCAACTTCTAGGCAATATGTATAGAGACTTGAAACATTAATACGTTTCTTGTATTTTTTTATTAATCAATAAAATCATTGCTCAAAATGCCTGCTACAGTTGGACTCTGTTTACTTCTTTTCTTTGGTGACTAAAGACAAAAAATATTAGCACCACTCTTTAGCAATATTCTCATACTCCACCCAGCAATAAAAATTTTCATGTATTAACATAACTTATATTAAACCTAGGAAGCACTTTAATGTAAGTCATTTCATTCTCATTTCTCTGAAACCTTATATAAAGTGAAAGCATACTTTAGGCTGACAAATGTTTTTGAAAAGAAAATAGAAATAGAAGAGGTTCATTTCACCTTCACATGGTGTCTTTCTCATGCAGAGTTCAGATTTCCACATTTGTATCCCTTTAAAGGATTTGATATGCAGGAAAAGAAGAAAGGATGATGGTAAACATTTCATCTTAAAGACAGCTACAGACCACCATATGCCACAATGACCAGAGGCTTAAAACTTACCTTTTACAGATGTGTTTGGGGGTGGGCCTTCCATTCGCAAGTTCCATGGAGGGTCCCCCTGGTTAGCAAAGTCCCTCATTTTCAGATAGCTAATTGTAAGTCGAATGATGGATGCCTTGTCCAGCTGGCTCGTGATGGCTGCAGGAAGAGGCAATAACTTGGCCAATTCATAGAACTCAAAATTTTCTTTTCCCCGGCGGGAGCGTGCAGCGTCTCGGGATTTCTCCTTTCTCAATGCTTGTAAACTGAAACCAAAGAAGTGACAAAGTATTGTTTAGAACATATGACTTTCTCATCAGATAGAAACTGCTTTCTTTTTACTTCCCCTTTCCCAGCAAAAAGTTACCAAAATCTTCTTCAAAATCCCATGGGTCATGGTAAAATACGTTCCAGACAATGTCCACTAAAACCATAAATTCTACCTCTGGACTTATATGCTATGAACTCAAGTGCAATGAGTACAAAGCATTTGCTTGGTAGGGGTTTTCCCCTCAATTGACCATGCAGTAACATACATTCCTTGTTTCTGAAACATAGGATTTACAGGTGATACTTGATCTCTTCAGCTATAAGCAATTTAAAAGATTGGGCTTGTAGATATCTATTCTCAGACATCTATCATATCTATTCTCAAGCTTGGCTTTGTCCATTTTAACTATTATTCTGATGGGATTATAAGCCATCAAAAGGATGCATTTAAAACCATTATTGCAGTTATCATCTCAGAGGAAAAGGAAAATACAAAAACAATTCACAGAATCAACAAATAAAATGTTGATGTTCTTCCAGCGCTCAGTACGGATCAAGACCTCAGTCAGATAAAGAAAACATCCAATTGAAGAGGAAGATTTCCATGTAACTTTATAAATGTGCTGGTAATTCATTGATAAGAGAATACTTTCATTCTTTTATCAATGGACATACACTAATGAATGGATAGATTCCCTAAATTACTAGAGGATAGAACACATTGCCCAGAAAAGTCAAACTTTATGATAATATAAATTTAATGTTGAAAGACAAAAAGCCCTGTCTGGGTTATTAAAATTTATAAACATTATAGACATATTACTTCACAGAAGAGGCAACAGGTGGGATCCAGCATTTTGCTTTAACTATTCATGTGCATTTCTGTTTGAAGTTTGCTCACACTGCTGAGGGCAGAAGCTGGCACCACTGAAGTTGCCTCTGAGCAGCTGACAGAAAAATTCTACCTACTCTGAATTGCTCTGTTTTGTGTCTGACAAGAAATAAACTCAAGATCAGACACCAGAGATAGGTAATTGGGCAATATTTACAGTATCCAGGTGCTATTAAAATCATTTATAGGTATCCGTTTTATTGAACTCCGAGGACATTTTAAATTTTTGAGTCTAGCATGCTGGTTTTCCCTTATAAAATAGCAAGAATGAGAAACAAGGAAAGAAGTGAGACCAGAGGAATAAATCAAAGTGGGTTTAAAGTTGTGGCTCCCATCCCTATTAGGAGAATATGGACAATAACATTCCAGGTCACATTAGTGTATACCTTATATTGTTCCTGGTGTAAACATTGTATTCAATGTAGACACCCAAACTATCTTATTAAATATCTATGTAATTTAAGTAATGCCATAATGTTCTGGTCTAATATCCCAAATTATTTCATGTTTACTCTATTAATAAAATATTCTGAATTAGCTAACTAATATATTTCTCAGAACTGGACAAGTTACTGCTATCATTCTCAGTCTCAGCAGTCTTAGGTGACAAACCTTTGTCTCTTCATATCTCACGTGGTAACTCAGGCAGAAACCTCCTTAATTTACAAGGAAAAGACTTGTTTTGCCGTTTATATCCCAATATCTTAGCTGGCCTCCATTCAATTCTATAAATGATCAATTTTGGCTTATTGAAAATCTATAATAATAAAAGTGTAATATGCTAATTAGACCGGATGTCCTTCCCGATGACCTTCCGAACGAAGCCAGGGATGCAGCCACAGGATCGAGGCAGCTGCCAGGGCTGCAAAGGGCTACTCTTGCATGTATTTTGTGCATTGGGCCTCTAGTTATGTAAATAAAGTGAAAGGAGCCTTAAAATATGAGCAAGTATAAATCTAACCAAGATCCAGGTTAACATCTTAAGATAAAAGAATGAGACATATCCCTCTCTATAATACAAGCAATCTACCTAACACCATTTAAGTCATCTGTGCCAAAAAATTCTCTTCACATGTTTCTCTACCACTTATGGAGTGCAGTGGTTCAAGTTCAGTGCTCTGTCCTCTTTATATACTTGTAATTGAATACTACTCCAGAAGGTGGGCTGAACGCACAACTTTTTTTTAGCCAATAAGTGAGTATGATGGAGCTCTGGGGCAGAGGTTGGAAACTCAAGGGCTCACAGGGTTAAGGCAGGGAACAGCAATGAATGAAGAGGCCTGGAGGACAGCAGTGCAGGCAAAGGGTGGCACACACACTTCCAGCTAATTACAGCTTTGGTGGCAGGCAGGCCTGGTGTTGTCAGAGTTCTGGTTTTTCTATTTCTAAAGAACAAAAACTAAACTTTTACATGGCATTTCAAATTTTTTGTTATGTTTTAATTTTGTGTTAGCTAATTAAAGTTCTAAAAATTACACAAGTCCATTAAAATATGTCATTTGGTCAACAATGGAGCAGGGATGCATTTTTATAACTGGGTAATAATTTGGGAGACTGCTTTTGAAGGTAGTTTTAGTGGATGATATATATGATTTTCCTTTAGACATGGCACTCAAATGATCACAAATGGACTCATTTGTTAACTAATTAATACTACTAATATTCATGCTGGAATTTCTCTATTCACCTGAAGCAATGAGGGGATTAGACAATTACTCTGAAATTGATATAAATGCATAAGCTTATCAATAAACTAAAGAAAAAAATAATCCTATGGGGAGGAAAGCTCAAGATCACAGGAAGCAACCCAATGGGCTCCAAAGCCTAGCTGAGGGGAATGGGAATATGCGGACGGGAATGCCTTTTGGCATTCTGCTCAGTACTGCCCTGACACCTGACTGTTCTGAAACAGCACAGAGCACAACTTACTCTATGTGTTCCTGCTCCACCTTCTGTTGTCTTTCTGCCCCCCTCCCCTCCTTTTTAACTCTAGCACACACTGTTACCCCACTGGAGTAATCTTCTTGGCCATAAACTCAATAACAAAGGGTTTCCATGACTCCCACATCACATCATTATGCAGACACCATAGTTCAGAAGACTTTCAGAATGATAGCACTGTTTCTGTAATAAGTAGTAATTGGTTTTGAGGGTAACAGCAATAAAATATAGTCAAAGGATTATAGAGGTTATAGAGATGCTGACAAAAATAGATGAAGCTAGGGACCTTAAGACAACAACACAGATTGAGGATTAATCTTTTTTTTCTGCTTTTGTGAAGTAGAGCCTAGTTATAAGCAATTCTCAAATTGAATTAAGGACTACATTAACACCTAAAATAAACTTAGTATTTATACATTCTGTTCTAAACCAAAAAAGTATTTATAGAATACTAAAGAAAGGATGGCTTATTTGTACATGAGCAAAATGTTTGACCTCTGCCATTTAAAATATGATTAGGCTTCAGAGTCACTATAAGTACTCCCTGGGCCAAAACTCCCCACTGCAGATGCTCATGTAGGAAGAAGAGACTACCTTATTCCTCCGTAAATCAAAATGCCAACGCTCTTTGATGAGGCTATTATCAACCTCACCAGCATTACCACCAACTAAAAACCAAAAAATCAACAGCCACTTCAAAAGGGAGACATGTAGATATGTAGATATGTGGAGCTAGAGATAAATAAAAGTTGGAAGTCCTATATGAAATTGTATGTATATATGTTTATTTGGGGGAAGATAGTAAATGATTTTCAGGTTATCCTTAGGGACCCCACCTCCCCAACTAAAAAGGTAATGATCTAGTATCTTGAATTTCTCCTAAGCCTTATTAAGTTAAATTTTCCCCTTCTTCTTGTCATTGATGTTGCCAGAATTCATTTATCATCAACAAGTATTTCTGGTTTCAATAATATTATTTAATCTATGTTTCTTCTCAACACCTTGAAAGAATTTGTACAAGTTTCTAAAGCTATACCTTATGCACAGATAACAAGCAATCATAAACTTTTACTAGTAATGACAGTGCACATTAAATGAAAAGTGTTTTTTTAAATCCTTTTATGACTCTTAAATCCCTTTGGCAAGTTGTGTATTTTGTGCAAAGACTCCTGGTGAAGGAGTTAAAGACACATGTTGGGCATTTGCGACCATTATGATTCTAAGTCACAAAGTAGAGCCTTAATTTTATCATTTTATAAAATGAGGATGTCAAATAGGGCATTTTTGGCAAATCCCATGAGAGTTAACTATAAAGTAGTAAATGTCTTGGACAGTTCTAGATTTTAACAATTAAAATAGTTTATGAATTCTAAATGTGTTAGAGTCCACTTTAGAATTTCACAACAGAGAAGAATTTTAAGAAATTGGAAAGCTCAGAAATGCCCAAAGTAAAGTCAACCCATCCTTAAACTTGGAGTGGAAGCTCTGTACCAGATTGAGGACCTTCACATCACCAGACAGTTACTTGCTGGGCAACCTTGGGTAGGGCTCTCAAACTTTTTAGGCCTCCATTTCCTCATCTGGAAAATGGACATTTTAATAGTATCTACTTCATAATATTCCTGAGAGGAATAACTGAGCTAATCTGTGCAAATTGCTAAATGTCTACCATATTGAAATATTACATGAGCAGTAACTCTTATTATAATAAATGTAAAACTTAAATGAGGAAAAATAGCCCAACTGTTTTAATCCTAGTACATCTGATTACCACCCTATTTCTCCATCATTCTTTATAAATTTTTTAACCGAGCTTCTTATCTACCATGTTTGACTACATTTTCTATAATTCCGAATACCTATTTGCTTTCCTCATTGTCCTCTCAGACTCCTTTCTCTACTGCCACTTATGTATGACCTTCACTTTAGTAAATTTAATTTCCCATGTAGTGACAGTAAAAGTCAAACCAAGGAAAATAAAGTCAGAGGCCTAACTTCTGCTTGATGACAACATTAAAACTGCCTATTTTTTTAAAAAAAGTCCTACGTGTTCTAATAGTGGTTATCATCAGGTTCTGTCTGACACCTTTTTCAGTGTCTTCCATGCCAGAAAAAGGTAGACGTTAAGTGCATGGACTGTGGAGCCAACTTCCTGTACTTAAA